CCGCGCACTGCGCTGCCAGGACCAGAAGCGGGCGCGCGGGGCGGACGGAAGAGGCAACCTGCGGGACTGCAGCCAATCAGGGTCGTTCGAGGAGCTGGGACGCAAAAGGCGCCCCCTGGGGTCCCTGGCAGCGCAACTGAGACACTGGACCAAGTCTGAGAGCGCCTCGCCGCGCCCCTGATGTGTGCGTGTGTGCGTGTGTGTGCACGCGCTTCTCCAGACTCCAAAACACCGTTCCCAATCCTTTTTTGGAGGAGCTTCTATCCCCGTTTCACCCCCAGCCACAAGCCACCGTGCTGGAGCATTGAGAAATAGACCAATCCAAGGAAAATTTACCAGTGAAAATGTCGAGTCTGCCCATTTCTTCCTTCCGAAGACGGAGTAGAGCTGTCCAGAGGGGGCCCTTTGTTTCACTGAAATTGCAGACGGGGATGTTGAGAGTTCCAAGGAGGTATGTGTCGGGAGCAGAAGGGAAGGGGTGTGCAGGCCTGTGAGCCGGGGACTCAGGGTTCTAGTTCTAATGCTTTTCTACCAACTCACCTCTCTGACCCAAATTTCCTTACCTGGCAGGCAGATCTGGTATGTACTCTTCCTTTCCGCTTGCAAATTCTATGACTGTGACTTTGAAGAGGTGTGTTACATTGAGAAAAGAAAGATGGGGGGGAGGAGAAGAAGAGAAGAGAAGAAAAGAACAAGAAGAAGAAGAGAAGGAAAGAAGGAAGGAAAGAGAAAAAAAGAAAGAAGAGAGCGAAAGAAAAAGACAGAAATATTTTTATTATTCATTGTTAGGAATCCTCTGGGGGGAAAATGACAAAGGACTGTGAAGGGACCATACAAGAGCATCTTCTCCTTAGCAGACCAGAGCCAGTCCTATCAGCCCTGGGAAACAATGTCTACGTGAAAAGTGAAGCAAGGTCTGTGCTTGTGAGGTCAGAGCCATTGAGCTGCTGTCATGGTGGGAATCAGATAAAAAAACAGTGAGGCAATGGGACATGAAACCGGTGTGGATTTCATCAGCCTGCTCAGCCTGGGCTTTATAATGAACCACTTTTTCTTCTAATCCTACCCACCCCATCCCCATCAGACCCACATGCTCCTTTGTAACTCTAGTTCAAACTCTCTTTCTCTGTTGCTTGGTCAAAGGGACTGTCTCTGAATTATTAGCAAGATGCACCTTCCCCTCGCCCTAACCATTCAGTCACTTGTTTGGCATTTGTTGGGTATTTGCTATGTACCAGTGTTATTGGGCCCTGGGGACACAGGATAAATAAAGAATAATGCCTACCCCAAATGAGTTCCTAAACTAAGGGACAAGACTAACCAAACAAATGTAATTGTCTTTGCTATGAACTTGGAAGGTTAGGAAGTTCCAGTCCATTATCTATCCTGACTGCCTGTCTGTCTCTGTCTGTCTCTCTATCTATCTGGTTTTTTCCTTTTTCAATACTGGGGATTGAACCAGGACCTTGCACCTGCTAAGTAAGTGCTCACCAAGCTACATCTCCAGCTCTTTTTATATTGAGGCCCAGGCTGGCCTTGAATTTCGTCTCTTCCTTCCTCATGTAGCTGAAAATACAGGTGTGTAACACCAAGCCTGGCAGAAAAAACAAAACTGTACGTGTGATACAAACAGGGAGTCTAGGGAAGCAACAGAATAGCCCTGTTTACTTAACCCATAGCGTTCCTCTGTTAGATAAGCTGCTGAACCTTGGATCTATCTTGAATGAGTGAGTACCTTCCTCTCTTCTCCCCAGTGGATCAGACTGGATAGGGCCAATCATTCAGCTGGTTGTCCCGATGATGGAGAAGGGAATGTCTGTGTGTGTTTGGGAGAAGTCCTTTTAGGTCTTTGGATCCTGTAGGTAAAAGGATGGCTGAAGACTGTGCCACCCCAGCCCCACCCCTATTGTCCAGCCTTGGAGTGACATACTCTTGCTAATAACGACTATCCCCTTACAGCATGCTATTCCTCCTGGTCAGTGCCTCTGGCTCCTCACTTCCTAGTATATTTCCTTAGCTTCTGTTCAGGACCCCGAAAGTATTCATCACATCCTAGGATGGTATTCTTATCCTGTCAAACAGTTGCTAACATTGTGCCAGGAGCCATAATAGTGGTTTGTATAACAAGAGGGAGTAGTTAACTCACAAGAGAAGCAGGGAGGAGGGAGAGTTTCATTTGGGTAAAGATTTGAATATATTTATTTGTGGTAAAATACATATAACCTAAAATTATCTTGATCATTTTTAAATGAACAGTTCAGTAGTGTTAAGTGTATTCACATTGTCAATCTCCAGAACCTTTTCACCTTGCAAAACTGAAGATCTATACCCCCTGAACAATTTCTCTATATTTTGTCTCTCCCCAGACCCTAGTAACCACCATGCTACTTTGTTTCTGAGTTTGATTGTGTAGATAGCTCATATAAGGGCTTTGTCTTTTGGGATTAGTTTATTTTATTTAGTTTAATGTCTTCAAGTTTTCCTGGTTGTAGCACATGCAGTAATTTAATTCCTTTCATGAGCTTGGTGGCCATCTGTAAATCATTTTTGGAGCAATGTCTATTCGAATCCTTTGCCCACTTTTAAACAGGATTTTGTTTGTTATTGAATTGTAAGGGTTCTTTATATATTGTGGTTCCTATGCCTTCTTTGCATATATTTTCTTCCATCTTGTAGGTTACCTTTTCACTCTATAGTCATTTGATGCAGAAAGGGTTTGTTTTATGTAGTCGTTTTGTTTTTTTGTTGCCTGTGCTTTCACAGCCTATTATAGAAGTCATTGCCAAAACCAATATCATGAAGCTTTTATTCTGTCTTCTTTTAAGAGTTTTTTAGTTTTAGTTCTTGTGTTTATGTCTTGGATATATTTTTAAGTTAATTTTTTGTACAATTATAAGGAAAAGATCCATTTAGATATCATTTTCCTGAATCCATTTGTTAAAGACCCTGTCCTCTCCTCACTGAAGGGTGCTGGCACCCTTGTTGAAAATGTTGTCATTACAGTGGTACCCTGGTTCACAAACTTAATTCTTTCCACAATTCTGGTTGCAAACTGAATTGGATGGGAACCAAATCAAACTTCCCCATGAGGTCCACATTTAACCTAACCACTGAACTTGATTTGGTTCTCATCCAATTCAGTTTGCATTCAGAATCATGGATAGAATTAAGTTAGTGAACCAAAGTACCACTGTGTGTAGGTGAGGGATTTGGGGGGGGCTCTATTCTATTCCAGTGGCCTCTACCTGTCTTTTTGCCAGTACCACATCATTCTGATTACTGTAGCTTTTATCAAGTTTTGAAATCATCAGGAAGTCTGAGATTTCCAACTTAGTTCTTTTTCCAGACAGTTTTGGTTGTTTGGGATCTAATAAAATTCTAACTGACTTTTATGATGGATTTTTCTACTTCTGCCAAGAATGTTTTTGGAATTTTGATAGCCACTGCAATAAATCTGTAGATCATTTTAGGGAGTACTGACTTTCCTAACGATATTAAGGCATCCAATCCATCAACGTGGGATGTCTTTCCACTTATTTGTGTCTCTCTTAATTTCTTTCAGCAACATTTTATAGTTTCAATGTACAACTTCTGCTTCCTTGGTTAAGTTTACTGTGTAAGGATTTTAAAATATTATATCATAGAAAAAATGTGAGACACAAACCACAAGTACAATTTTTAATTCTCTAGTAACCATATTGAAAAGATAGAAACAGCATGCTAACATTTTATTTAACCCAATATATCTAAAACATTTTAATGTGTAATCAATATAAAATTGAGACATCTTATACCTTTTTCACACCCTGTCTTCAAAATGTGTGCACTTACAGCACACTTCAGATTAACCACAAATCAAGTACTTAAGTCTTTTGTGGCTGGAGGCTACCACATTATACAGCACATTTTTGAAGGATGTGTATTTACCAGACAAACAAGTGGCAGGGAAAATATTGTGAGCAAAGTTTTTGCACTTGGCATTCAGGGAGGTGTATGAAATGCCAGAAGTAAAGGGAGTGGGAGATGTGGGAGATGGCACTGTCAGTGGGAGGTGGAACTTCATGAGCAGTCAATGGCTCATGAAGGCCGGTGGGGGGCTCAAGTCCCAGTACAGAAAGAGCTGGGGATAGAAAAGGGGAAATATGAGAGCTGTCAGCATAGTGTCAGCATTCCACAGTGGGACGAGTCATCTGGAGGAAGTGGGGGGGTGACTGCATTGGAAGGTGGGGAGGTCTGACTGAGGCAGAAAGGCCAGTTAGGATATTAAGTTTGGTGTGTGATATGTGTTTTGGCGCACTCTTGTAATCCCATCACTGAGGAGGCTGAGGCAGGAGGATTGTAACTTTGAGGTTGGCTTAGGCTACATAGCTAATTCAAGGCCAGTCTGGACTACATAGCAAGACCCTGTCCTTTAAAAAGGAGAGAGAGAGAGAGAGAGAGAGAAAGAGGAGAGATAGGAAGAGGGGGAGGAAGAAAAAGAGGTTGGGGGGCTGTAATCCCAGCACTTGGGAGGCTGAGGCAGGAGGATTGCTGAGAGTTTGAGGCCAGCCTAGGTTACACAGAGTCCAAGGCCAGCCTGAACTATAGTGAAACCTTGTCTCAAAAAGCCAAGAAAAAAGAAAGAAAATTTGTCAATTTGATACTGGATTAAACCCTAATTGTGGAGGAAGAAAAAAAAAAATCCAGATTCTTTTTGGGTGTCTGGATGGGTATT